AATCCAAGAATTGCACACAAAATGCAAAATGCCTCACATCTCTTGCAAAATGAAGCACTGCGTTCAAAATATCACAAACACGTCTCAAAAGCAAACATTTGCAAACACCTTTGCCGTAATATTAATTCCTGTTAGATTTGTGTGTGTTACATAGAGAACTGTGTGTTGTGTTTTACAAAAAGTGTTTTGTCAAATTGAAAAAGTCAAAGGCTGAGAATTAGTGTCTGGTTTTGCAGATTTGGTGTGTGCTTCTGCTGTTTGAGTGTCAGCTTTCAGAAACTGTGTGACGAGGAAAGATTTTCTGTGAAAGCAGTTGAAAAAAAACTGTAAAGTTATATGAACATTCCTTAAACTTTACTTTAAGAATGTTTTTTTCCCCTAACACTTATTTAACTTTTAAAAAACTTTTTTTTTTGTTAGGCATCTTTTCTAAATGCACTAAAAAGTCGTCCTAACCCTGCTATCCCGCTGCCGTCTCTCTGGCTCTTAATGGAGGCTTTTAAACGCAGCAGGAACAGAGTTACAGCAGACGATGCACAGCTTCAGCCGATCCACCGAAGCACTCTCAGCGTCACAGTCACTGAGCGACGACGAGCGAAGTTCATCTGATATCACATCATCTATAGGTAACGTCTCATACACACTCAAGCTGTGAGTGATCTCAATAACACTCACATTTACATGCATTCAGTCTGCAGATGCTTTTATCCTCACTTTCTGTGCTGCCAGGGTTGAGTTACCTGCGACCCTCGACCAGAACCATCTGCTGAATAATGAAGCAGCCGCAGACATTATCATCACGAGCGCAAACACACATGAAGTGCTGCTGAGAATCACTCAGACTGAGAGGAATCGCCCGCCCACAATCTAGCGCTGCAGGATTCTGAGTGAAGGAAATTTATCTTCAAAACACAAGAAGAGCGTCGCGCCGAGAGCAAACACTCAAACACAGAACACTGACACTACAATAACAACCTGAGTCTAATCTGAACAGCGGCTCAGTTCATTTGCTTTCGACTGTATTTTCTTAGCTTTGAGGAGGATTAAACGTGTGTGTGTGTCTGTGAGTGTCTGTGCGCGTGTGTGTGTGTGTGTGTGTGTGTGCGACGACGAGCGAAGTTCATCTGATATCACATCATCTATAGGTAACGTCTCATACACACTCAAGCTGTGAGTGATCTCAATAACACTCACATTTACATGCATTCAGTCTGCAGATGCTTTTATCCTCACTTTCTGTGCTGCCAGGGTTGAGTTACCTGCGACCCTCGACCAGAACCATCTGCTGAATAATGAAGCAGCCGCAGACATTATCATCACGAGCGCAAACACACATGAAGTGCTGCTGAGAATCACTCAGACTGAGAGGAATCGCCCGCCCACAATCTAGCGCTGCAGGATTCTGAGTGAAGGAAATTTATCTTCAATACACAAGAAGGGCGTCGCGCCGAGAGCAAACACTCAAACACAGAACACTGACACTACAATAACAACCTGAGTCTAATCTGAACAGCGGCTCAGTTCATTTGCTTTCGACTGTATTTTCTTAGCTTTGAGGAGGATTAAACGTGTGTGTGTGTGTGTGAGTGTCTGTGCGCGTGTGTGTGTGTGTGTGTGTGTGTGTGTGTGTGTGAGTGTCTGTGTGTGTGAGTCTGTGTGAGTGAGTGTGTTTGCAAAAAAAGAAAGCAAAAAAACCCGCAACATTTTGTAAAGTTGGCCACTATAGGGAGTATGCAAATATGGAAACGAAGATGTTTTGTCTATCCCTGAGTGTTGAATGTTATAAATATAAGAACTTGTGAATGTATGTTAGCCATGTGTGCCTGTCATCTTGCAAACTAACTTCCCAAAGTATTTGGATTCCGTTTTTGTTGCTTGTCTTGTGGATCCAAATAAAAGAATAAAACGTGTGTGTGTGAGTGTCTGTGT